CTTCTCCCTCACCACGTACAAATGCCTGATGAGTCGTTCCATTCGAATCAGTATATATAACTCCTATAGCTGTCACACCTGCATTAATGAATAACTTCATATTAATGAAAATGTTATTAATTTAGGAGTGCAGAATGACAAACTAACACAGAAAGCAACATACCTGATGTGTTGGAAGAGAAGATGATCTTCTCAACTGCTGCTTGAACTGCAACTCGCAAGTTGTTTGGGTCTCCTTTATTAAGAAGTTCGTCAGATGCATGTCTGGTTCCGTTATTGTCAAAAGTTGAGCCCGTGAGTCGTGTTCCTGCTAGGTGATCCACACTAAATCCATTGTTTGGAAGAATACCGGCCTCCAAGTATGCAGTTCCTATAACAGTTTGCCAAGTTTGCGAATCTGGCTCGAACACAATAGTGTCTTCAACCCACTCATATGTCTGATTAACCAAATCCATGTCCCATTCAATTCCTGTCTGATTAAAGAATGAGGTGTTAGCTCTGACGTAGACACCGGCATTGATCATGCTTGTGCCACCGAGCACCCTGCCCCGTACGTTATCAATACCATCTTCGGACACGAACCTTTCGACTGGTGTCTTTCCATCATCTTCTTGCTGGAGATTATATACAAACCCATCTGATGTCAAGAGGTTTGGATATTCTGTAGGAAGACTGCCCCTTTCTAGAACAAGCACTGAGTAGTTTGCTGATAAAGTTGCTGCCAATGGACACCCTGCTGTTCCTCCGCCAACTATAATGTAGTCATATGATCCTTCCAATTCTGGATCCGTGGCGTCGTACACAAAGCTCAGGTAGCTAAAATCTGCAAAATGTCAAGACACGAATAGTTTTTAAAAGTATAGCACATGCATCTACGTAAGCGAAAAAAGTGTATAACAGAAAAAAGTCTTTCCATCATCTTCCTGCTGTGCATCTACGTACACAAAGCTTGTTTCTTACACACTTTTTTCTGTTTTCTTTTTCCTTTGCCTTATTTTATTTTATTTTTATGAATTATAGGGAGGAAGTACTTACCATGAGAAGAAGTATTGGCAAGAGACTGAACCTCTGAATATTGAAGATGAAGGACAAAAAGGTGCAACACCAATAGTATAGCTGACATTGTTGATATCACCATGGTTGATGAAGGCAGGCTCTCCCTTCTGTGTAATTTATAGAGGGTAAGGCTTAGTAAGTTGAGTTAAAATAATGATTTCAACAATCACATGATAAAATGATGACAAAACAATGAACATGGAGGCATTTAAAAAGCATATATTTCTGAAATATGAAGATTTTCCCGAGTACCTAGGGATTTTTGTGTTGAAATGAATGCATTATTTTTCATGTATCTCATTTTAAATCACTCGATTTCAATAATACACATATAACAAAAATAAATATTCGAAGTCGGTACATTAATTCTATAAAATAATATTTTAAAGTAGATATAATAAGATTTAGATAAATAAAAAATACTTTAACAACATATTCGGGGGTTGTGCTATCGAGCTTGACACCTGTATTATACATGCAGGAAGCTCCAAATGACAATCACATCTCTATTTCCGTGCAAAGGAGGTAAATTGTTTTTACAATATATTTGCAATGTCTTAGCTCCATATATAGAAATAATATATGTACCCATTATTCTGTTAGGCTTTTTTTTTTTTTTTT